TCAGGTCGCTTATCAAAATCAGGTGCGTCAGCCGATACACGACTTATTGAGATCGATTTGCTTCGCAACTTACCACTGAGACCAGCGATGAAAAATGCAAGCATACTTGTTATATCTCGGTCAATGCACTGCACAGGCATGTGTATTCGAAGAAGTGTACCTCGGCTATCGGTACATCATCGTTTCGTTAGACAGTTGCAGTTACCGACGCTAGGATAAATCAGCGACTCTTCTAGTAAAACGAGCCTAGTGGCACCTGGATGGGACTAGCAAAATCAATAACAGAAATTGATTGCTTCATTGATTATATCGTCTTAATAGTTAAGATGATACTATCAATGAAGCAATGGCGTACCGCTGTCACCTTCGCAGCGCCTTCGCAAATTCAGTCAGGATGATGGGAAAAAGACATTTTGCGTGACGTTATTATATGGTGCTATAAAATAGCAGCGGCAGGAGTCAGCAAGAAACGTTTCTCAGAGTGGCAACAATGTCAGATAAGGTTATCAGGGGCAAAAAGTTAACCGACAATTCAATTTAAGGATACCGTTTGACAGTGGGTATAAACGCATAAGCAGTCGTCCACGTTAATTTTCGATTCCGTTAGTTTGTACGAATCAGCCCTGATATTAAAGGAAGCTTGACCCGCTAGTTGATCCTAAAGAATAAAAATTCATAATGAACAATATATCAAGGTAGAATGTTGAACTCAACAGTTGTTTCCCTTGTTACCTGAGGAAACAAATTTCTGTCCGCAGGCGTATGTTCATCTAAGGTCGATTGTCCTGAAAATCTTTACCCAGGTATTACAATGTCTGACTAAAGATTAGTCACGTGATAGTATTAGCTCATTTATTTAAATAGTTAGAGAGTGCATGGAACAACCAGGAACTGCGTGTCAAGTTCAAGCAACTTATAAATTTACAAACGGCTTTGGTCATAGGGCATTTTTTTAAATTGATGTAGCATTAAGTTATTTTTACGTACTTTGCGGCCAATAGGCCTCCTTCATCGATAAACAGGAATGATATTGACTCTGTCCCTTTTGTTGCTCTCCATGTATTTCCAAGCGTAATTCACACTGAGCCAAAATGTGCTTGTGTAACCAACGACAGCCGTTATTTCTACGGAAGACAAACTAAGAGCTCGTGTGCGTATAGCCACTTCCGATTACAGGGAGCACTTCGCAAGCCTGCATTGGGTGCAAGCAATTTCTTAAATTAGATACCCTTACAGCCCCCAATGAAATTTTATCTTGAACACCCAGTCAGATTTGAGTTCAATCATGTACAACTTAATTAATATAGGCTGCCGTCTAGGCAACTGAAAAAAAAACGTCTCTAATTTCAAAGATACACCGTACTGAAAGACTGCAAAAACCAGGAAAAGTAGCCCAAAAGTTAATAATAATTTTACAAAATTGCTCTCGTTAGTAAAATTAACCTTGGTCGCTTTTGCTTTACGTATGTTCCGGCTCGATTAGATATAGAAATTGTTACGGGATGTCAAGCAACTAGCGAGAGTATTGGTAAGGGGTAGACTAAGTTATTAATATGCTATATTCTTTCTCAGACGCGAAAAAAAAACTCTGTTATTAATGGTTCGAGTAATTGTTCGCTGATGTGCCTTGATGAATAGTCGTTGACGCGAACGGCGGATTTCCGTTGACAAATTCTCGTAAGAATCCAGCTGTGACACTTGAAGATAACAAAGCAGGCCCGCCGTACTTTACAATACCTTGCAAAACCTCTATCCTTACACTAGTTTTATCTCTTGATCTATGATAACTCAAGTGTTTACTTGGTAAGTGGTTGTAGTTCGATAGCTGCACTCCTAATGCCACGCTGCCGCTCAATTCCTAACATTTTTGACAGTAACCAACAAAGTATGCCGTCCTGCTCGATAGATGTTACTGCTACTTGTGTCCTTGAAATATTACCCTCTCTCAGATAAGGCTTGTAACTACGTAAAAAACGTCACATAAACATTCGCTAAACCTAACTCTATGGGAATTACTATATATACACATGGGTATCAAGAAGTTGGCCAACCTGAGGTGCCTACGAGTAAGCCGGACTGCGAATAACTACACAGAGAGTGATCCGAAGGTGCTACGTGATAATGTTAAACACTGGAGATACATCGTATGGGGATTTGAAGCGCAGCTCCAACAACGGGAACACCACATCTACGACGATATTCATCTTCAGAAAAGCCAAGCACCGTTTCAAGGACACTAAGACGAGATATATCGAACAATCAAAAGGTTCAGTCAAACAAATCTGAAGAGTGCAGCAAGGATCTACACAATGTTGTAGATACTTTACTACAACCACATGATGACCCCATGCATCCTATTAAATTAATTAAATTTGGTAGAGGAATTCGTGACCAATTAAGAATTGGTGCAAACCGAACCCATTGGACCAAATTAGTAATTGTATGGGGTTACCCTGGCCCAGGTAAATCTTATGATGTAACGGAGTTGGTAACTGAAGATGCGATGGGTACTCGAACTATAAGGCGGTGATTATGGATGACTTCTACGGATGGATTAAATACGATGAATTATTAAAAATAGCGGATAGGTGCCCTTATAAAATACCAATTAAAGGGTCCTTTGCTAATTTTGTTGCTGAATGGGTATTTGTTACAAGCAACATTCATCCTGAAAATCGGTATATAAAAAAATAATATTAGATACAACTTGTTAACTCTCCATAGAAGAATTGACATATTAATCCATTTACCAAATCCTGAAGAACCTTTAAATGTAAACAACAAAAATATCGTTACCATTATACAGATACTACTGTAAAAAATTTATATATATATATATATATATATATATAAAATAACGGGCGAAATTTGTCATGCCTGCGAAACAGCGATTCAAAATTGATCCGGTTGCTCGTATTCTTTTTGTAGCTAGAAGAACTGCATTAAGGGACATTGGCGAGTCCTCTAAGAATACGACAGAGAATGGCTATCTCAGTAAGTTGTTACTTAGAATCGCACTACAACCCAGCTCAATCCGAAAGTTTCTCTAAATTGGTCACAATTAGGGCTTTGCGTAATAGGCTCGCTACGACCTGAATTAATATGGCCATGAGTATAAGATCATATGGGGTATCAAATACGTTAGGGTCGTGCAATGGTGGCTCCGATTGTTGAATGAGTTTAGTAAAACCAACCCTGAAAATACCTTAATTTATAATAAGTCTCAAAAACAAAAGCATCGAGTCTTTAGCAAAGCAGGCAAAAACGGCGATGCCTGTCTTACAGGAAATTCATAATAAGATATGGTAATAAGAGATGACGACCGCTAGTCATACAAACAAGTGATGCTTGCGCAGTTCTGTATCGGCGATATAGAATTTTCGTTATGTTAACGCAATTTACCAGAACCCTGAACAATTAAGCATATCTGACCCTATTCGGACGTGACTGCAATGTAGGATCGTGAAAGCTTCAGTTTTTCAGATTTACTGATTTGAAATCTAGGCAGAACGACCCTAATTACTACTAGAATTTCTAGAATTCTAATAACAATGTACAAATCTTGCCGTCATAATAATCTCCTTCAGGTATCTCTACGCATACAATATAGATACGAAGCAGAATTGACGTATACAGTATAAGGAACCTCGTTAAAAATAGTTCATATAAAGCGATCTGTATACAGTGTCGGACGCGGTAGACATATGTTATAGTCGCCTCATCTACTTTGTTATAATCTAGCCATCCAGTGAAAATCTGAACGAAAAAGATGCGAAAGGCAGAGGAAACTGTTGAGTCGGAGCCAGTCGGAAGACAGCCCCCCACCTCCCAGTTATTTCTTTACCATAAAAACTCGGTTAGCCACTGCCTTAAGCTTGAATGGCTACCCACTACAATTATGCTATACATTATATACCTAGCATATATGGAATGTATTTGAATCACTGCTATAAGCATGCATCTTTAGCAAACTATGACAGATGGAATAACCCCGGTAGTCTTCTGTTTTTTGACCACACAATATACACTAACCTGCCATACATCAGAATTTCTATATATTGGTATCAATAAGATTTTTCATAGGCTTTGTTTTGTTGTCGAATCTATATTTAAGCTCGAAAATTTGAAGCGAGCACTCAATCAACAAACAAACGCTATCGCTTTTGCGCTATGTACGTACTAGAATTGGAAAATTTCTATTCATTACGTTAACTGGCAGAGCTTTTTTGATTGTACAGCTCTATGAAATAGTGCCCGTAAGCTTGACGTCTCGAGACTCGTTTTTTTTATGCTGGTTATTAATTTCACCAAACGTGTCTATTAGAAGATAGCATCGTCCCACAGTATGCTTCGACATGAGGCGTCACTTGACTCGTCCTCAGAAAAAGATAAATCTGCCGAGCGTTCGTTGCAATTACTTTGGGTTTTAATTTGTCCAGCAACGCTTGTTACCCATTGCGAGTTTTCGGAAACATTCTTGCCCACAACACGTTCTGCTAATCTTTGCTCGCCCCATAGAAACGCTCACATAGTTTCACCTTAAAACTCCCCCATTTTACCATTTTTATTAGCAATGCCCCAAAATGGATACGGTAAACCACCATTCTGTTACGTAATTTACCACTCGCGTTTATGCACAACGCGAAAAACTTCTACTTCCGAGCTTGTCCTAATGAACATCAACCCCGTCAATCCCGTTTGCTATTGAATGATGCTTCTTGCCAGATCACTTGGCCGGAGCACCAATATACGGCCTATAGCAGACTACTCGAGCACGTGGCTTCCAGTCCTATCGCTATTGTCGAATCTACAAAGTCTGATCGCTGGGGTCACACGTTGCTCGCAATCAGTAATTAGCGCTTAGAAGCCATCCGCTTTATGGTCGCCGATGAACTTATTGTCGTGAAATCAGATTAGTCTATATGTTCTAACCTGTTTTTCCTCCTTATGTCGGTCGAAATATAACAAAAACGTATTTATTTCCCTGTCAATCATCACAGTTTCTCCACAGACAGCAGCTCGCAATTCGGGCGATTGTAACTTTGAGGAAGATACATGCGGCTGGATGAACCCGCATCCAGCCGATGGCTACGATGACTTCGACTGGGCACGACAGTATAGCTACGGATTAAATGGACCTCCTCTAGATCACACTAGAAAACGGGCCGATGGTACGCGTACTGCCTGTTGCTTATCGGGACCAATCGAGAATATTTGATACAAGATGCTTGCTTCAATTGCTCCATGTCTAACGTAAAAAAAATCACTGCACTTATCCCCACTATACTTTTGTGGAGAAAATCGTTCGCACCTACTGGACCGAGGCAGCTAGTTAATGATATATGTTATCAGGAAGCATATCGCTAATTTCGTCGTACTTGTATCCCGCTGGTGCCTTCTAACAGGCTACTTCATGAACCTAATGAGCAATACTGCTTTGCCAGCACGAGGTGGCTCGAAGGCGTGGCTGATCTCGCCTAAGTTCTCGACTGATGCAGCTCCACGATGTATGGCGTTCTATTACTACATGTTCGAACGTACCATCGACCCTTCCGGTCCGTCGTTGGGATCACTCCGAGTTCACGTCCTGCACCATCCATTGGATGGCACTAAGAAGCCGTTAACTACCATCTGGAGGCTAAATAATCACCAAGGACACCGTTGGCTCATGGCGAGGTAATCTGTATTTTTCCATTGAAGCATATGATAAAATATTTGTGATGAATAGGAAAATCAATATGAGTCGTACGGGTATGGAAGCCAAGAACGACGAAATGGTAGGTGGCAATTATGCCAACATCTGTGAATCATTCTTCTGAAGATCGCATATGTCCAAGTCTAAATGACAATGCTTTTTATTGATTAATTAACCATTGAATGTCTTGTGTTAGTCTAATAAAAATAACAGGACAAGTTTTTCTTACGAGGCCGCTCTATAGCACCGCGCTGTTCGTTGTTTTCGCGAGTCTTGGGAGCAATATTGGGAGCGTTTTCGTCTAGGCAGAAAAAGATACTCAATGACTTTTACGCTTGCGCACTGGCTTATTCTATGTACTTTCTAATGTCGAACGGTTCGTGAACTTGTCAACTCGTTGATCGGGTGTTCGGGTAAGACGGAAGTAACGCGTTCTAACATTAGCAGTTACTTTACATTATTCTGCAATGGGGCTACGTAGTGTCATGAAACCAATAATAAATTTAACTTCTCCGTTTGGCGTTTCCACGTTGAACACGGCTTAGAGTCCTCGCTTTGCGTGGTGCTGTTCATAATGAAGATGCCTCGAGGGGGATGGACTCAAACTTTTCGACCGGAGGTCTGGTTATCAAACCAACTTTCAGCCTTTGGAGAAACTCCACTATCGGTATAGTGTGTGGTCTATCCGATGGTACGCCTAGTGAATTATCAACATCTGGTGCCTGAATCGTTCAAGCGAACTTTGATTTGTATAGTATTGCTTTTGAAACTCTCGTTCTGTCGCCCGTCGGACGCGATTTGCCCATTTTGCATGCTGGATAATTTCGTCCAGCTAGTTTCCCGTAATCGTTCATCACATTTGCATTAACGCGGCTGATTTACCCAAAACTAATGCTTTTCCATTGTTTTGTGCTGGTCGTGGCTTACACGATGCTAGCGTTTGCACTTTTACTAGACTATGTTGATGTGGTTGAGGTGTAACGAAACGCAAAGCTCTTTCTTTAAATTAATGATATCTTACAATGCAATTACAAAATTGGGAGGAAACTATTGTACACCTCCAACAGGAGATTGTACACCCCCAACAGGAGATTACTGAAGGCAAATTGCCGTCGAACTAGATTTTAGCCGGTCACGTTATTTGGGTGGTCAACGCAAGTTTTTATCCAAACTCCTATGTTATTTTCAAAAACGAACGATAAAATGATGATGATGATGATCTTTTCCTATCGATATGATCGAAGAATATCAAAGTCTCCAACTACCGATCATCTTTTTCCTTAACATTTTTTCCACTTTTGACAAAATACCTGACACGTTGCAAAAACTGGTAAATTAACAAATCTTATTGGATCCAACGTAGCACAGCATACAAGCGCCAATTAGAACTTGCATACTATTAGTCTAAATTAGCATATAAATTATTTAATATATAACCTGTGGTGTATTGCCATATACTAAAGGCAAGGCCTCTTTGAAGTAAAGTTTTGTGCTTATATGTACAAAAAATGCCGCCGACTCAAGTCCACTACAAGCCAAAGCCGATAAAGATTTACAGACCATTCCAATGAACTGTTCTAAGAGAAGACCTTCTCTTAGAACAGTTCATTCAACAGAAAAAAAATTATCTTCGTAACAATCCAACGACAGAAGGTTCTTGTTTATTTCCAGAAGCTAGAGTTCGTGGAACAGTTTGATTGAGGCAGGTTACGATGACGTTGTCGGTTATAGGTCGAACCTGGCATAGGCAGACTTCGTGCTGGGGGGTTAGCCGTCCGCCTGATGGAACTATGCCTACCGGTGATACGGGACCTAAAACTCGCAACATAGAGGTTGTTACGACGACGTGGTGGATTAGTGGATAACGTGTTTGCATAAGGGCGCGTTGTGGTGTAGGTTCGGACCTGGGCGTAGACGAGCTTTGTTTTAGCTTTCTGACGGAATGATCTAACAGCGATGCTGGACGTAAGACACGAAACAAAGAGTTTATGACGACAGAGCGAATGTTGCTCGAAATGATCTACGACAAAAGCAACCACAATAAGCGATCCGATTCGGTGAATAACAGGCCACATCTAGAAAGGCCTCGGAGCGAATAAACAGAGCGAAAGTTTCAAAGGCAGTTCAGAAAGTGCAAAGAAGGACCGACCACTTCCATACAGTGTCCCGTTACCAGCCGCTCGTTCAACAACATATTTTTGCCGTTAACAGTGGATGCTAATTTGAACATTAGAGACACTGTGTGACCCTGGCAGGACATTTTTTTGAGCTCAGCACTCGCCCTGCCAGCCATCATGGTTTCGAAGAACGCGGCTCTCGAGAGACCACCACTAGCAGCTGAGCCCCCTCCATTACCACTTCCAAAATTTCGTCAACGATAATTATTTAGAAAGTGAAAGTCAATATTCATGTAGTGATCGATCGAGTGGATCGATCACAAAGTGTTTTAATCCGTGGTTCGAAATACTCGACGATTGATGTCTTGAGAACACATCTAACTAACACTATAGACATAAACAAACAGGGCTCAGTATAACAATAAAAACAAAACAGGCTACATTTATTCGTAATCGAATTCGCAGAAATCATTGAAGTTATCTGTGCACGTTTTGTTGCCGCTAATCCTCGCTTCATGTTCGCTCGATTTGGGCTGGAACTCGCCATACCATGCTAGCTTAGTGAAATATCGAATCAGAGAACCTGTTTGATTTCTCAGATAAAAAAAAAACAGCTATTCATGTTGCCCCTCTCAAAAAATAGGCTACATTGCATCGTACAAGAACAAAATCAAATAAAAGTAAGAAATTGCTAAAATCAGAATTCCGAAGTATCCCAGCAGCTTCCTGCTTATCTGTTAACACAGCCACGGACCTAGCCTTCTGAGCTGTGAGCTCACAAATGCGAAAGAATCAACGATCATTCTTGATCTATTGGGGAATTGGCCAAACTCGCTAACGTCAGTTAGTCAGTAAATCCATAGCGCTGGAAGCACTCGTGAGGATACGGCTGTGCTATCATTATATACACATTTAGTTCTAGGTAGACCACGAGAGATCTACCAGTGGGAATCGTGGATTCGCCTCACGGGCAAATCTAAGCTCATTTTACTTACTGTGAAATATTCTGAGGACACACAGATGGAAACCTTACTTCCGCTGTACGTCATAAAACGTCGTCATTTCAATGAGAGTGAGAGAGAACGTTTTATTTTGTCGATTCTTCTGAAAAGTATGGTTTTTTTTGTGCGACTAGCAATATTTATGGCTATCATTTTATGTTCCGGTTCTATTTCAATATATTTATTAACGCATGCGTTAGCGGGATGCTTGTACAATACCACTCCATAAGCGTCACTTTGGTATTATAGATCGCCAATTCGAATGCCGGACGGCTTGCCGGTATCGGAACCCTATCAGGTCGTTATCGAAGGCATCTGGGGCCATGGAAGGGTTGGTTACGTTGCTGTCGACGATATAAGTTTTTTCGATGGCGATTGCACAAGTAAGTTAACAATACTGGGCTCATAATGCGCTTCGATCAAAACAGCGAATAGGTCGGTGTTAACTTCTTTACTGGGTCAAGCGATATTGAAAAGAACGAAACATGCAGGTAGCTACTAAACAATATGAATCTAGTTCGTCTAATACCTACGAATACAACCCTATCTATCTGCTGTAGCTACTAACTTGAACAAAGTAAGTATATCAAGATAGAAAAAAGCGTGGATAAGAAGCGTCATTTGGATCCAGTATTAGAGATCTTTTCTCATTGACGTTTAACAGCGTTTCCCGAAAAAGCAGCGGCTGTACCAGGCGAGTGTTCTTTCGAACGTGACATGTGCGGATGGCAGAACGCAACAGGAATACTAAGCAAGGAACAGGCCGCAGCGCAGGCTCTACAGTTATCCAAGCAGATCGTTCAAATCCGGCCGTCGAATCTCATCGGACGAGGCGGCATTTCTCCAAGAGCATCGCTCACTTGGCGACTGGCATCCACCGTGTCTCGGCCAGCCAATCTCCAAGATCACACATATCGGGCTCCGAGTATGAAAACAATTTAAATACTTATTCAGCAGAGTTTGGCAGTGATACGGAAGTGTTTTAAGAAGGATACGAACATAAACGTTGATTCGTAAAGCTGTCTGCATCTTAAAAACAGTCAGATATGCATCAGTGATATAATACTGATTGTTTCCTATAGCACAAGATATAAGGGAAACGAATTTAGTGACATGATACTTCCGTGCACAAATCGTCCCAGCTCATGCACGGACATTGCTTTCTTTACTGGATTGACCATTGATGTCTGTTGTGCGGAGCGCAGTTCACGTAAACGATACCCCATGAGCCCCCAAAAATGAGCTGAACCCATGTATTCTAAGCATAGATGTAACTACAATTGGCTGTAATTATCCTTGGGCACTGCCAATTTCGATTGACGGTTAGATCAAAATAACCTATGCAATACTAACAACAATATCCGGCATCCAGTACCAACCTCTAATGGCAGGCTATTTTTCGCATGCTTGGCAAAATAGACAGAAAATAAAGCCTTAGTAGGGCATGATATGGGAAGAATATAGATTTTACAGTGCATTACAGCGTTGTGTGACATATGGCCGACTTGACTAATCTGAATTTCTGATCGATTACGCAGCAAATAGGTACAAATCGCGCATAACATATACACTGGCGCCTTTAAAATCGTTCATCTGTGCTTTTTTCATTTGATCCTTTCAGCGGGATACATTTTTTTCGATATTTTCAATCAAAATTCCGTTCAGAATCCAATTCTTCGTTCAACCGTAGTTCAGTCTATCGATTCTGAACCTGATCGATGCGTCTCGTTCTGGTTTGCACCATTTGGAAGAGGCGAGTCATCCACGCTTACTCTCTTCAGGTATGCACGCATCATTGCATGAAGCGGATAACAATTAATAATTACTATTGTTATTACTGTTACTATTGCTGTTATCCAGGCAAGGTCAGTGGGGTACAGCATGGGCAGTAGTTAACGACACTATGACGTAGTATTCTGAAAGCAAAACGAAAAAAAAAAAAAAAAAACTTTTTTTTACCTATTTGTTATAAAAACTGCGACGCACGTTGAACAGTAGCATTACGAATATGGAAATGTCCACTCACTCAGTTTTGTCTACCCTGGTTCTTATGATTCTCGGGACTTCGTCGCGTCCCAGAATTGAACCTGAAATCACCGAGGAAGACACTCGTATGATTCTATGGAAATTTACATCACGCAGATCCGACACGATTCGACCAGATTGGAGATACGGTCAGGTGAAAATACTCGCCGACAAACCGTTTAGGGTAAGTTATGAAATTATAATAGAGTGACGTATTGAAGAGGTGTACCTCGGGACCGGGATCTAAGATTTACTCGAAAGACATCAAAGTCTTATATTCCTTATAAGCTTAGTTAATTTCATTTTCTATTGATATTTTTTTCAGTTTTTGGCTTTTTACAATCCCACTGGTTTCCTAAGAATCTGTTCTCAATAATCAAAGCCACTCTATGGCTATAATCCTCTGGCTAATCCTATAAGAACTCTAGCCTGTTTGTTTTCTCTTTTAACTGCATTATTTATACAAAAATAGGCTGGCCTTATTATATAATTCTGAAATAATACCTGATGACATTTCAAGTTACGACAACAATAGGTCTAGGCCAGGACAAAACAATGGCACAGAAATGCTTTTCCGTCATTTGCCTTGAGCCAGCAAAGCATGAATGGAACCATACGTAAACGTTGCTGAGTTTCATATTGTTATTAATCCCATATACATATCTAGATCATTTGCTCAGTGATCAGCGAACTTTTTTGACGTAACTGCTATAGCATTATTCTAAAACGGTTTGTTTAGGTTTAAGTTACCTTAAGTATGGTTATGTAATCATACCGTTATGAAAACGCGACTAGGCCTTTGGAAGTTTAACTTAAACTTCCAAAGGCCTAGTCTCGAAAATGCTCGGGGTGGTAGCCCGTCTCCGCCATTTTACTGGTGGCTTGTTTTTATTAGACAGCACTGATATGACGCGAAGTTGTCAGCATATGTAATCATTCTGGCAATAAGGTCTGGGCTGCAATTTCAAAATTAGGTTACCCCACAGCTAAACAACTGTGTCTACAACAACATGCGCCTATCAGAGATGTTGTCAAAACAACGACCGGACCGCTACAGCCCGAGCTATTAGTTAGCGTTAACTTACTACTACTGCATAAACTAACTGTGATAGAAATGATTTTGTGTTTATGAAGTAATTATATTACATGTATATAAATTAGCTACTGCTAGAGCCTATGGCGTCTTTAGCTGGATCAGTCATTTGTTGACTGTTATAAATAAAAGACGCGCTAGTACAATGAGCCAAAAGCAAAAAGAAAACCTGCGCTGCATAATTATGAAAGGTTTCATTAACAGCTACTTCCTTTTTCCCTTCCAATCGTTTTTTTTCCTTTTTTTTATATTTAGCTATATTTAGGCATTTATATCATGTTAAAACTATGATTAGTTGTTAAGGTTGAAATTGCTACTAACTATACGTTTTTTTTCGGAACTGTATTTTGCTTTGGTCAATTTACCTGTAGATCCAATTCGAAGGTGAGGCGAACGACGGCGGGTTTGCCCTGGACGATATCACTTTTTACAATGGAGACTGTGAGACGCGACCAGCCACAGCAGTTGTCCTGCCAGCGGAGCCCGTTTAGGTTGCGCTGCGGTTTTAAGGCCTATAAACCTACGAATTAGCCACGTGGGAGACAAACCTTTTCGATACGCACGATCAGCCTTGCGATGTCGCTTTATTCATTTTTTTTTCAGTCAGCTGAGATACGATCTGGCCTTCTGTGGAAGAAAACTAGCCAAGCACTGGGTGTTTTAGTAGAAAACTAGGCCAAACCAGTTAACTAACTATAGCTAACCTTCCTCTTGCCGTTAAATGGGGCAATATCCAAGCAGACCACCATGTCCAATACTATAGGTACACGTACTCGATAAAAACTTCTATTTTATTTAAAAATATTTGTTAAATCTTTTTAAATAAAATGGAAGTTTTAAAGGAATAAAACGGTTCGATGAAAAACGTCCTGTTCCTAAACGAGATAAGGGTTATAGTTATCACAGAGACTACAATAGAATAGGATTCGGATAATGGAAAAAAGGTTCATAAGAGTTATATCACAAATGAAATCGAATCGATATGGTTATTTACCTAAAGGAAGGTGTACTGGATAAAAAAAAAACAACCTGCATTTACATTCTATAACGAGTATAAGTAACGAAGTAAGTTCGTTACTTGAACGTTTTCAGCTCTAAGTAATGCGTTGTCTTCCTAATTAAGAGTAATTGGTCTGACTAGTTGCCGTGTAACTCGTTCAACGGCCATCTGTGGATAAAGACATTGTTGTGCAGTACGTTGTACCTATATGTACACAGTAATATGACTGTTATAGTGAACGTGAGGTTATCCGTTCCTTCGACTCCAATCCAGTGACTGGACCAGCGGTCAGGATCAGACGGGCTAATATAGTTGCTAAATAATTTCCTCTTATCACTGGATGGAGCTCCGTGGGTGAAAGCCGTACACTTTAGCTTGTTGTGATGACTATCGCTTCCCCAATGAAACAAAGCAACAAGAATGCCGGAAGAACTGTTCCCACAGTGAAAAAGCTTACAGAACATAAAGGAAACGATCTTTCAATTCGAACTAAACTTTTACACATAATTTCAGTTAAAGTTACAGCTCACACGCAATCGCATACAACATATTATATAGTATATCCATATATACATTGTGTCAGCTACACCTTTGTATTGTATATTAAATCTTTTATAATTTGTGAATCGCTTCGTTTTCGTTGTTTCGCTTAATCTTATTAACCATCTGACCTAAATTCTATATCTCTTAATCAATCTAAGTTTTCACTTGCATTTATTATTAACTTAGTACGAATTTAAGACACGGGCGCCAAATGCAGCTATCAGCTAAATTCGTACAACTATAACGGAGTTAAGATGTTGCTCACTATTGATTTCTACAACTTTCTCTCAAAAAATTTTTGACAACCTTCACATGGCAGGAAAAATTCTCGAAATGAAGATTCTCGTACTTTTTAACGTTATAGATCAAACGATTCTAGCCAAAAGAGGTGACACCCTAAAACCAAGTCAGAAACCGAAACCCGATCAGACGCAGCCCTTTCAGCACTTTTTTCACGAGGGCCTTGAATTAGAAATATAGTTGATTCTACAATAACCGGATTATTCGATTATTTCTGCTAACTAAACCTTCTTCACGCAATATATATATAGTGGACAATCGAAAGAACTCTTTAAACGCAGGACGAATAACAGGACTCATAATTAACTCTAATAAGACGACGCAGAGGAATAACGAAAAAAAAAACGCATCCATAAGGATAAATCCGAGCAAGATTCTGTGAAACACTGGTCGAGCACATCTGATCTGGTCTGACCTCTGAAGCGCATATGCAGCTCAGAGACGAAGCATCTTCTTTAGCGGAAATTGCATGGACTGTTTCAAGAAGCACTCCTTTCGTCTGACCCAATTTCGCTTTTTTTCGACCTAATTAGTAGAACAGAAAAAAAAACAAAACATAGCAGAGGACCAGAATAAACAGTGAAAACGTGCAGAGCGTAGTTGTCGATATAAAGTGAGAGCACCTTAAAGGACAACTGAAACATTCCTAAAAAAAAAACATTCAACGCATTATCATGCAATGAAACAGAATCTGTTAGTTACTGGCCCGTGTCCTATATTCTAGAGAGATATCCGTGCTTGAAATAAACAGCAGCGACAACGATCTGCCACCTGACAAAGCTCAGCGCATTAGGTACGATATAGGTGCTATGTATGTATATTAAACTTTAGTAAAAAAGACGACATAATGTTCGCTTTTCACTAAAGACAAAGAAATGCGTAGAGGAAATACTTTGTCGGTTTCGTTTATTGCTTTCCTTCCGCAGTGTTTGCCGCCGACCGTTAATCTTTTAATAGCATTGAAAAAATGAAAACTTCCCTTGCTCATGACCACGACGTTTTTCCTTAGTTTAAACTGTTTAGATGGCGAAAAAAGTAACCTGTGACACCTATACTCACTAATGTTGAAAAGTTGCAAAAACGACCAAGAAGATTTGCTCAGCACACGATGAGGACATCCTAATTACGAGATCCAGGCTCACAAAACAATTATTCTTATCTTTCAAACAATATATCTTTTACATTGAAAATGCCACTTTCTATTTAGCAAGTTCCCTTTTTGTCACAGAGTCCTCGTCGCATATACCACTCTTGGATCGAGCCTTTTTGATAGCCTTTAGCCTTGGTAACAGGCGAATAGGAAGACTGTTTTCGGCAGCCGACATACCCCTCGAAGCCCAAATTGAAAGTAGCATGCATTTTGAGAAGGCAAGGAGTGGTAACAAAACAATATCGTTGATAACCTCTCTTGGGGGAAGAGTAAAAGTATACTATAAAATAAAAATACGAAGCTTGTTACATCTCTTACTAGTTGCAAAATATCTATCACAATGCCAATGTAAAAGTTAGCGGATGTCAAAACAACGGATAGCGACGATTTCGTGTCTGTATGGTGGAAACTTATTTAGAATTCTTTATTTGGTTTCGTTTTCTGTTGATTTATTATATGGTCTCACATATACATATATAATATATGTATATATGAGACTGTGAAACATATATATATAGTCTCACAGCAAATATTCAAAAGGACTCGACAGTGCGTGCACGTCTATAACGGTCTGATCCGCCGCATGAAGGTTCGATTAAATTCACTTGAAGATCATGTGAAGCTAAAGTTTATAGTTTTCAATTTAAACAGTTCCTTCAGTATGATGTCCTGTAAGTTCCTTTTAGTTTGCTCCAATATAGATTCATACTTTGCATCTATTAGACTACGGAGGATCCATCGTCCGGGTAAGCCACTAGCCTTGACTATTATTGGCGGTCCCATAAAAAGGTTTAACTTCACTAGACGTGTGTGCCTGCTATTGTCTACCTGAAAATATGAACATGACAAACATCGCGCTCAGGTGAGTACTTGGTGGAAGTAGATGTAACGCTTCATGTTCAAGCCAACGATATACAGGGATCAATAGCATCCGGGACTGTAGCCATTGACGAAATTCAAGCTGTTATGTTTGTTTTAGTCTCCTCTTGCTAGCAGTCAAAAACTCCATATATACATGTCAGCAACACAACATCCCGATACTAGAGAGAGAATTTTATATAAAAAGTTTACAAAATTTAAGAGATTTGTTAGACGTCATACAGATGGTACCCTGTATCTGGAACATCTACGTGTATCATCAGGTTCATGAACCTGTTCCGCTGACATCAGTAGTAGAACCCATGCACGACAAAGCGGGTGACGATACGTCTATTTAATCGGCGCGACCATTTTTCACTTATTTCTCATCGCAACAGCGAATCTTCGCTCGTAGTTCGTAAGGCTGGTCCTGAGGGCTTTTGTTATTCAAAGCTCAAAGCGATTACGTAAATTCTCGAACAGCAGTGGTAACTCCTGGGAGATACGCGAGGCGATCTCGGTTAATCATACGCATCTTTCGTGACGTGGGCAGTGAAATTTCTGCCATTCGCCGAGAAGAGCTATCCTGAATATGAAAACAAGTTTGCTTGGTAAGAGATCGACTAGCGGGGCACAAGATGTCAGTGACCGCTGCTCTGCCTCCCTTATTTAAACTTGCATCGCCTGCACCTTGTTCACCATTGGGGCCAATCTCAAATCTGTGACTACCGGAAGTAGCTAAAGCACCCTGCATCTAGAATCTGTTCAGTCCGCATATCAGTAAGGCATTTGCACATAAGACGACTTCGACTGATTTTCTCGGCTCTTTTATTTGATTAAAAGCCCTTCAGAAAGCTGGAGCTTAGGTTGTCCTCTGAGTCAGGCTAACTGTCAAAGGAGGAAGTTCGGTCACTCCGTGGTCTATGGTTTTTTTCTTCTCCCAAGCGGCAAGGTTGAACACGTTAGGTACACCCATCTCGGCCACGGTGAGTATAAAGATGGCCTTGGGCGCTGAGTTTTATATACGAACACCATATACAGTGGATTGCGCGGCATAGCCAGTGCTCTCTTGCCGTCGGTAACAATTCTGCACGCAATTTTTATAAAGCATTCTTTTCGGAATTAGTGTCGCTCCGTTAAGATAGCGCTGTTTCCCAGTTAGTAAGCCGGGATGTCACTCAAGACTCCTCACTAGGGTGACGCTGCCCCCTCCATTAGGGATCACCAATAGCATCCCTCCACCGGCTGGAGTCATCAATATGTAAACATTAAACTTAGTAAACACTTAATAAACAGCGCGCTTCGTTTGCCTCTACTCTTCCAGACAGAAGTTCATGCCTACTCATTAACTTTATACATTCATTGATCCAGTGAACTCTCTCCAGTGAGAGAAGACTTATTCTAGACGGTAACTGATTCAAGTCTGTGACATGAGAGCCTAGCCTCTCAAAAGACTGTTTCAACCTCACGTTTATGTTGGACAATTTTCCTATTTTGAAGAAATAATTTCCCGTGATGGCGATGTTTGGCGAGTGGTGTGACGGATGACAGAGAGGCTCCGAGTGCCACCGTGACTCTTGAGGTCAAGTGTTATACGACGGGAGTGGTTTACCTCTATTCGTATACTTAGCTGATACGGATTTTTTTCGTAATTTTTCTTTCAACGGTCAACACAATTTACACAGCTGGACCAGTTTCCGTCCCAAGTGACAACTTGGTGAGGCATTGAGTCATTCTTGCAACGGGAAGGCAAAAAGAACCGAACGTCTCTACAATTTTTGTTCGGGTTCGAATTATGGCCCACATGCATGTCCAATTTTCTACACCATTAATTTGAAAAAGGCGAGCAAATATGGTGTTTGCACATTCATTAATCCTGGGTTGGAAAGAGGTCGGCTTGTATCACAGTTCTCAACCCATCATTGTTGACCTTTGTAGGTTTTCACAAGACATTTTCCAGTGCAAAATTTCGTTTCTGGAATTCCTCAAACCAATAGACTCGTTATAGAACCTTCACAGGATTTATACAGCAAGCTGTTTCCACCGCCACCCTTTGGAGAGGAAACTCATATCCATAAATAGCTTGGACTCTCCGATTTTCCGTGGCTCATTATAATTCGTCTGCTAAAGCCCTGAGTAACCATATCCGGGCAAACGAGCTTCGAAAGGGTACAACTACATCTCCAATGGACAAAAACTCTTGCGAAATATAGCACCATTATCGTGTAATTTTGAGATAAACGTTTTCCTTGTTTCATGATGAACCACCTAATATATACATATAACCTATCAAGTGCCATAAGATAGCATCGCCGACCACTCTGAAGTGCCGGTTTTCAAAAGGACGACTTAAGATTCCGCTCTCAAAGATTTTCGTTTCATACTTTCAAGCGTTTTAATTATACACGAGGCATATTCTAACCAACATCTGAAATTTTACGATGAGAATTACTATCTTAACGAGTTGACTAGGTACAATGAAATAGATAAGGCAAAATCGTTCTTACGCAGATCATATTCTGATTAAAGATAGCAAATAATAATTATCCCACGAACCTGCACAGCGACTTCGAACAACGCCTGGCGTATCAATAGGTCAAAGCAGCCTTTCATGGGAACGTAGAACTTCGATGCAGAGTAGCAAATATGGACGGAAATATTCGTAGCGTACACATACCCGTCGATTCGGGATTGGTTAGAGTTGAGTGGACGCACGAGGATCTGCACTGTGCGATAGGTTCGGTACAAATGACGTATACAGAACTGTCGAAAAAAAATCATTTACAACTCGGCTACTGTTGTAGATATGTGTGCCCCGAAAAAAAAGTGGGTTGAGCTAACATCAGGTCCTTTCTCGGACATTTCTTTTTTCACTCTATATAGATGATTCTAATGATAAATCTGAAACTGAATGGCTCGTTAAATTTTATAATATTTATGCAATGAGAGGGACGAGCCTGCATGTGAACATACAATATTCAATGTATTGAATTTACGCACTAGTTGTTATCTCATGAAGCAACGCCAAATTAAAAAAGAGACGTATTTTTGTTTTGGAAAAAAAATGTTTTGCTATGCTATTGATGAGTAGTATTATGCCTTTTTTTTTTTTTGTTTTTTTTTTATGTATTTATCTAGCACAGACGTACTGCACCAAAGGTAAGATACCTCAGTACTGAATAAATGACGGCAACTTCTCAATAGCGTTATGCAGAGTCTGTAAGTCAGCCGCCGCTGCACGTAGGTCAACTGTTCATCGATTGTCGTATGCGCAGAGCGATCGCAAACAGAAATTCGCCACTGAAACCTACGTCTTCGGGTAACAACTGGATGAAGTGGTAGCTTCTAAGCACAAGTCTACTGTAATTCCTGCTATTGTTACCTCCTGTCTTTAGCGTCATATAGCACTTAAATACAAATGTCTGTGGTTTGCTACTTTTTAAGAAGCCGTTTAAACGCTAGCGCTTCTTCGAAAGACATATTTTATTATTGTTTTAAATATGGGGCTTTGAGCACAAGATTTGCCCTTTTAAGTAGTAGTAGTAGTAGTGCAGTGTCTACTCTGTCACGAAGGGCGAACGCCATAAAACTCCCTAAAAGGAGCGACAATAGAAGACAGCTTTTCGAAACAGGTCTCAGTTCTTCTCTAGTCTATGTGATATTGGCATCACAGGAACAGAGCTACTAGAAAATAAAAACTAGCCTAATAGAAAGGCATATCAGTCGAGCTATATCTTTCATTTTATAGATTTGATCTGCATATTACCCACGAACCAAATCATTGGTACTAACCTCAGGTAGTTGGCCGAAGTCCAATATCAAGCCTGTTTTGCATATTGACTTGATTTGACTTACTAATTTTTCCACGCCATAAGCAACTATAGAATTTCCTAGACGGGTCGCAGTAATCTCGTCTGTATCCCCTACACGGCCGAACGTACAAGCTGTTAGGTTAGCTGATGTTTGCGTATCTACCTATTGACCTAGGCTTCAATTGATCTAGCTAACGTAGATAACAAGCACGGATTTGTACAGCGTCAAGACGTGAGCCATGCCGCAAGCATGTTTGATTCCGTTCACTTCTTCCGTTCAAATTAAACTTGAATCGTTTTAATATAGAATGGTACCATCGTATCCTAACGTAGACGACGGAGCACGCCTACCGCTGTCCATACAATTTTAAGACTTCTTTCCTTCACCCGAGACACAACGTCGGCCTATCAAGCTCAACGATCAAAAAACAACTGACTTGTATATTTAGACCCTCATATTTGCACAAGACCGGTTACTCCCAGTTAGTAGATAACATCACCAAGGAACGCTGTGACCATAACAAGCCAGCCTGAATATTCCGGACAACTTTTATCGGTGTTTCGTTGCACTGCTTGCTCGCTAAGAGGATGTAACTAGAAGTGCTTCGAAGCAGCTATTGCTGAACTGAAGCTGAATATGCTATGGCTGCGTCGAAGCAGGGTTTATGTTCTAGCATTCGTTGGATACACCTGAACACTTCGAACGTGCTTCAGATGATGATCCCAGCTAAGCCACAGAACACGTTTTATGGTGTAACCCGATTTTATGGATAATTCTTTTTTTTTGTTTTTTTTTTTTGTTTTTTTGACATTGATAGCAGCCTTCCCATAGAAAGGGCTATGCATCGACTGGTCTCCTATATAACCGATTTGACGACGTGTTGCGCTGCTATAAGTACCGTTTCTCAACAAATAAGTAAACTTGGGGGACATTAACTGGCACTTACCGGAGGCGAATGTCAGCATAATGGTGATTATCAAACAAATAGCAACAAAGAACTGTTGAGCGTTTCCCATTTTGATTCACAAGTGTGAGTCTGTCCCTTTCGGATCCACTGTTTTCACATCGTCGTTCCATATTGTGAGTAAATCGACTACGTTCTGAAAGTTTTGTATACGTAATTTTTTAAAGTACAATATAGTTAAAGTGCTCTCTGCCTGACACCTGCGGCTAAAATGTCGTTGATGACGCCATTGGCTCATTACACTATTAGGCGTACCCGGATGAAGGGCAAACTGAGCTACCAGGATCCCTATAAGCATCACTATTGTCAGCTAAACATTGCCATAAATAACCGTAAGTATATAATAACATAAATAACGATAAATTGTCACGGCAGCGTATTAGATACGAAAGCGCACAGATAGGCATTCGATAAGGCGTACATTTTTTTGTTACTAGAGATATTGCCCCGCTTCACTTCCGAATTATTTTTACTTACTAATATCTAGTTGATCATCACCATCAGGATCATGTTGGGGGCGATTAGGTGTTCATATTGTAATACACCGCTAGCTAGAGAGATAGATTGAAAACAGTAAAATGGATACGCAGATGACTTTATATTTCAATATGTTTACTAGTCATTATTTGAAAGAAGGTCGCTAACATTTATAGCGTACTTCTTGTATTAGCAGAACAGTAGCAAGGTGTGCCTAACTAATAACAACAGCAAAACAATCGAACAGCCAGTCAGAATCAGCGGCGGCCACTCGTCCTTGTTGTCCTAGTGTAGTTTACGCGTCGGCATTTATAGTAATCTTTCTAGCGATGTCTTCTTATGGCTAATGGCTTGCCGCGTTTACAAAGACGGCCTTTTTAAACGCTTGTTCAGTCCTTCTCACTTGATAAAGATCATTTGTATTGCGCGGGTCACTAACGTCAGGACTTCTGGCGGCAAATACAGCGCTGAACTATTTAGCTGCGCAGCGATCGAATGCGACCGCAACTAAACGGGCTCCCATGATGAGGAGCAATCTCTGAAGTGCAGGCGTAGAATTAAGACAAAGTTCTTTTGCAACAGCTCATGCCTTGCGGGGTATTAGGGATTGACCTTGCGTTACAAATAAAAGTACAATGAATAATTTATTTGTTTGAGTTGTGGAAGAGGGAATCGGGAGGAGGACTTACTTTGCGAATGGATCTGTTTCTTTGACACAGAAGGTACAAGGCAAACAAACGTATACAGTGAATTTTGCCCCGTTTTAGTTCTCGAGAGATTTATGCTCATTGGTTTACAGGTCAAATCAAGGTTAATTTATTATATATTATAGAGCAGTAAAGCGGATTAGTGTGGTTCGTTAGATAGCTAAAAGGTACTCTAATTGTTTCAAACCGCTTGCTTTTCATCTTGCTAGATCTTGCGCTAGAAGCTGCATCCGTAATAAAAATGTTAACGATATCCAGTTTCTCTAATCAAGCATTGTAGTACGCCGCATTTTAGCCTATGCCAAGGAGACCACGCCTTCATGCGCAGACGCCAAATTTTGCTTGGCGTCCTTAAAGCCTTTTCAGTTCCGTCATATTTTATCTCGGCCCATTTTGATGATAAGGTCTAAGTGCATCAAACACAAGCTGTGCTGAGCAATTGCCCGAAAGGATCATCCACGGTTCTCCCTGGTGCGGTTTATTTGTAGACAATACAAACTTCCTTTGAGTAGTAATCATTGCGCTTGTCTCTATCAGTAAAAGACAGTAGAAGTGAAGCGACAGTGCTACATGATAAAAACATGACTTATATCAAAATCGACATTATCTAATGCTTCACAGTCTACTCCTGTTTGTGTGTGCACCGTACGTCTGGAAGAGATTGTCTTTAGACTACCCTTTGTAGTCAAGGTACACGCTCGTAGTGGTCTACTAGTAAACATAAAAACCTTAAAAAAAGTAGAATAGTTACAGTAGCATGAACGGGCGGTCATGGTATGGATGCTCCATGCGAGACTATGTCTTCAATTAACTTTTTTTTTTTTTTAGGAACCTTAGCATATTGAATATGTAATGACACGGCCCGTCCTGTTGGGATCACATATCGTTCAGGTTAAGTACCTACGGTTTCAGCCACAGCAAATCTTTTAACGAGTTTCTGTAACAAAAACTATTAACAGTTAAAAAAAAAAAAAAAGAAGAAAGGTTCAACGATGACTCTTGCACCCTGTATTCCGCGACCATTGTTTTAGATCGATGAAGTAGGTTTTTCTATCTTTCGTGAGGTTAGTGAGATTCATCCCCCGATTTAAATCCGTGATACAACTGAATTTTCTGCCTGTCTTGGTCGGCAATCTCTCGTTTGCATCAACTTAATTGTGACGCAGAGGTTTAAATTAAGCTGAACCGTGGGCAATAGACAACACAATTATATCAAAGGCTTGTTGTTTATAATGGTTGACATCACTCGGCAGTAACATACTGTCTGAAGCTCAGTGGGTACTTATAAGGAGACATACGGAAGACAAAAATCTGCATATGATATTTAGAACCTTGATTGATTATGTTAAAGCTCTGCCAGAGCCAAAGCCAGAGCCAAAGCCTGAGCCAAAGCCTGAGCGTATGTCAACATCAAGGGAAGTTATTCATCGTGATTGAGCCATTGACGGAACCGTAGTGTTCTGATCCATTATTGAGAGCATTTCCCATAAATCATATTCTATTATCTAGAGCGATTCAAATTAGATTGTCTATGCGACCATCCATTCCCGATGTTTACAATTTTTCATAAGTAAACTGAACCCAGTAGGGAACACTACAGCAAAACGTAGTTGTGAAAGCCCTAGTTTTTTTTTTTTTAGTTTAAAAAAGAGACACCTTTTTTGTTCAGTAAGCTGAAGTTCAGAAGAATGTCATATTATTCAGGACGACGTTCAAATTTAAAAGTGTGAAACTCCGCGCTCAATCAGTACAGAAATTCTGTGCATGACTCCCATTTATTTGGTTTGAGAGCGCTAATAATCCTCTGGGTTTGCCATAACTATCCGATGAAAATAAATAGGTCGCTTTAGTCGGGCCACGTGATTTTTCAACCTTTTTTAGCCAAGGCCATGTGCCTTGAAGGATACCTAAAAAAAAGGGAGTGCTATGACAGTCATAAGAGTGACAGGAACAAGGTTTACGCAAGATCGGCACGTTGATAAACCAAAGCCAGATTTCCTTTTTGGAATTAAATATAACAAGAACCGTGTGTTAAACTAATGTTGACGATTTTGTGGAGCGGTGCGGAATCCACGACAGCGTCGAATCAATGAGAAGTGCCCATCGTGCTGCCTGCTCTGTAAGATACGTCTACGTACATGCGCCTGATTTCCAGCAAGCCTACGATATCGGCTACGCGAGCGCCCATGCACGATGACTGAATGGTAAAATTGTAGCGGCTTTTTGAAACACACAGACAGAAAGAATCGAAATTGGTTAGTTAGTTTTATCATCAGATCGTATGAAGACATGCCTTAACTTAGTTCAGCTTGGATTCAAACCAATCAATTAATATGGGTTGATCACAAACCTGATTATGATTACGCATGCCTTCACCTAATCAGTGCCAATCTGAAGTTAGAAAAACATGGCTGAAGGTAGATAGATGTACATTTTCCGTAGGCACGATGAGCGAAAATTATTTTCCGTATAGTATAAAACAAAAAGCATCGAAATCATCATGGCCGATGGGTTAAGCCAGCTGCTCTCTCATAGTCATATATTGAAGAGCTAACCTTTAATTAAGACCTCTCACGTAATAAAGCTACTAATTCCATCATAAAACTACGAAGACTATCGCTTTAACGATCCCTCTTACACACGAGGGCTAGTGACTACCTATAACTGTGAATTTCGAGCAATCTACTACAGCTGCTTCCTATCAGTGTGGATAGTAGTAGGCTATTTCTAGTGCTATTCCATCACGAATTAAAAAAAAAAAAGCTATCTATCAATTACGTTCATCTAATATCTCCAGTAAAAAAAAACAGAGAATGTGTGAAGATGACGCACTTTATACCTGATCCACGCCAGATCAAATATATTTACGATAGCTGGGCTACACTTTGAACGAATTCAATACCGAGATTATACAAACACAGGGGATCAGACGAATTCATCCGCTTCCTAACGATCTCGTTAATGACTACATTGACCGTAACGTTTAATGCTGCCCCTCGTGGAAGTCCACGATCGTAGACCAAATCTTGTCGAAACAAGAACACCTAGAAACCACAGTTCAACGGGCGATAAGCAAATAAACTAGCGTGCACCTTTACATTGGATTCACAACTTTGCTCTTACATGTATATATATGTGTATATATACACATGTGTATATATATACATGTACATATATATCTATCGAGTGTGGTCAACATCTCGAATAAGATCGCTCGACATTGTCGAGAGGTTGTATTTTGCACCTGCTAGAGTAGCAAAAAGTAACATGTAGTAACAGCACGAGCACGATTAAAAGGATACAAAGGGATGCTTCAAATTGTCGAAGGAACTTCACCTCAGCAGAACTGCTGTGCTTGTATAATCAGGTCGGCGCGAAAGGGCAAATTCAAAGCTGGACGGCGAATAACATACTACGTGTCGTCGAGTTATGGAACGCTCGAATTAGTTATAAACGGCGTCTCTTACGTATCTCGAGGACAGTGGACAAATGGAAGTGATCTGGCTGATACGTACGCCCGTACGTATCACCACTTGTCTAGAAACCATCGTCTGCAAAGCCCTGATTGTGTTGTGACAACGATACAAATCTTCCTTTTATTTTTATTATCGTCCGTAAAGAGGGCGTTTAAGAATAACTCGATTCTATGATGTGATTCAAATCCAAATCATATTGTAGTTCCAGAACATTTGGGGAACAGAAGGCTAAAAAACGTTGTTTTTTTCCAGTTTTACGCCTTAGCATGCTTTAACGAAATATGTCTACGCCCAGATTTGTGTCTCTAAGTATAGCAAGCAAACGCGTTACCTACAACGACTTTGTCGAATCCTAACGAGCGCTTCTTATAGAGGCGTCAGCAGGGATTTCAACGGTTGTTAAACAAACGGCAGCAAAGACGTTCGTCGTTTCGGCTTCTATACGTAGAACTGCGTCTTACGGGCGAACAGCTT